TGGGGCAGAAAGCCTATGGGGGATTTCAGTTGGGGTGGGGGATGTGGTGAGAGGATAGGGGAGAGGGCCAATGGGGGGTTACAGTGGGGGTGGGGGATGCAGTGAGGAGGATAGGGGAGAAAGCCTATGGGGGGTTACACTGGGGGTGGGGGTTGTAGTGAGGGGGATGGGAATGGAGGGTACAGTGTGTGGGTTGTTGTGGGTTACTGTGGGGGTGGGGTTTGTGTTGAGGGGGATTGGGGAAGAAGGTACATTGTGTGGGTTTCTGTGGGGGTGGGGTTTGAGCTGAGGGGGATGTGTGGGTTACTGTGGGTTTCTGTGTGGGTGGGGTCTGTGCTGAGGGGGATGGGGGCAGAGGGTACAGTGAGTGGGTTTTTGGTTAGGTTGTTTGATTACTTTGGGATTGCCATGGTTGGGTTCCTTCTGTGGGTGGTACTTGAGGGGATTGTGTTTGTTCTTCCACCTGGGCCTGATTTTCCCTGCTCCCCACCTTCCTTGCCTCCCATTCCTTCTTGTGACATTGCACCCTCTCTTTCAGTATCATCCTCTCTTCTTGTGTTCTGTCTCGGTCAAGGTACACACTCCGGAATTGTTGATGAGAGTGTGAGATAGGGTGTGAGAGAGAGAGAGGGGGGGAAGGGAGTGTGAGAGTGGTTGAGAGTGTGTGGGAGCATGTGAGTTAGGTAGGATCAGCCTTGAGAGTGCTTTTAGGCCTAGGAGGCGAGGGGAGAGGGAGGAGGAGAAGGAAGAGGAGGTGAAGGGGGAGATGGAGGAAGGGGGAGGAGGTATAGGAGGAGAAGCAGGAGAAGGGAGAGATAGTGGAATGGGAGAGAGGGAGAGAGAGAAAGTGGAATAGGAGAGAGGGAGAGTGAGAGAGAAGAGATAAAAGGAGAGAGAGGGAGAGAGTGTGAGTGAGAGAGTGTGGGTGTGAGTGTGGGTGAGAGAGTGGGATAGGAGAGAGAGAGATAGTGTGAGTGAGAGAGTGTGTGGGTAGGTAAGTGTGGGGTAGTGTTGATGAGTGTGTGAGGGAGGGAGTGAGAAAGTGTGAGTGTGTGGGTATGGGCAAGTGTGAGAGAGAGTGCAGGTGTGAGTGTGAGAGTGTGTGAGTAAGAGAGAGAGAGAGAGAGAGAGAGAGAGAGAGAGGAGAGAGAGAGGAGAGAGAGAGAGAGAGAGAGAGAGAGAGAGAGAGAGAGAGAGAGAGAGAGGAGAGAGAGAGAGGAGGTGGAAGGGAGTGTGTGTGTGAGAGTGGTTGAGAGTGTGTGAGAGCATGTGAGTTGGGTAGGATTAGCCTTTAGAGTGCCTGTAGGCCTAATAGGCGAGGGGAGAGGGAGGAGGAGAAGGAAGAGGATGTGAAAGGGAAGATGGAGGAGGGGAAGATATAGGAGAGGGGAAGATATAGGAGGAGGGGGGAGATATAGGAGGAGGAGGAGCAGGAGGAGGGAGGGCTAGTGGAATAGGACAGAGGGAGAAAGTGGAATAAGAGAGATGGAGAGAGAGAGAAAGAGAGAGGTAGAAGAGATAAAAGGAGAGAGTGAGTGTATGTGAGTGTGGGTGAGACTGTGGGTGAGAGGGTGTTGGAGAGGGTATGTGAGATGTATCCATTAGGGTAGGGATTACAAGTGTTTGTGTGTGAGAATTTATGGCCCTCTTACATTCACACATGTGAGCATGTATGCATGTACGTATGTGTGTGTGTGTTACTGTCCTTCCACCCGAGCCGAGGAGCGAGGGGAGAGGGAGGAGGAGAGGGAAGGATAGGTCTCGCATGCTGCTATGTACTATGCCCATGCCTGTGCACCTACTCGTGTATACCTGGAGCTGAATAAACATCTGTGCACCTACTCATGCATACCTGGAGTTATACTTACTGAATAAACAGTGTTAGTGTTAATTGTCTGACCTTACTGCCTGCCCATGCACTACAGTGCCTGTGGTCACCACACTCAATCCCCTCACCAATTCTACTCCTCTGTTAAGTGCTTAGTGCCCTAAGTATGATATTCAGCTCTCCAGGGCAGGATTAATGATCCTCAGCTATCAGTAATCCAGGGCCAGTTCCCGCATTGCAACCACAAAAAAGGCTATAGGTTATGTTTGGCAGGCCCACATCTGCTCCGCTCATGCGCTGTAAGATGCTTCCTGTTTTGGTTCCTCTTCTATTTTTTTCTTCACTGTATTCACTAACTCCTCTATCACTATGCACTATACACTGGATTCACTAACTCAACCATTCTTATCTCTTATCTCCCTGGCTTGGGTCACACTTATTCTGCTTATTGGGATGTGGTAATGTCACCTACACTAGGCCTATGGCCATTCCTTCCCCCCCCCTCTCTCTTTCTCTCTCTTTCTCTCTCTCTCTCTCTCTCTATCTCTCTCTCTCTCTCTCTCTCTCTCTCTCTCTCTCTCTCTCTCTCTCTCTCTCTCTCTCTCTCTCTCTCTCGGCACTGATTCAAATTGTTTTCATGTATCTGTGTCCTTCACCTCCCTTTTCTGATTGGGACAGATCGTGTATCACTTCTCAGGTTGTTCACGGACACTGTCAACTTTCAACTACCCTGGCAGTGGCTTTGATGGGCCAATAACTACTAAAGATTCACAAGCGACAATGAACTGTTGCTCCTACACGCGTGTGTGATCTGAGTGTATTGTCTTTGATACTGTTATATTCCATATCTGATCATCATTATTAGTGACGATAAGGTCGAGTGTATTTTGAAGTCTTGTTGGCTCTACTATTTTCTGGCTTAAAGTGAATTTGTTGCAGAGATTTAATAGCTCGTGTGTGTGTGTGTGTGTGTGTGTGTGTGTGTGTGTGTGTGTGTGTGGTTGTGTGTGTGTGTGTGTGTGTGTGTGTGTGTGTGTGTGTGTGGTGTGTGTGTGTGTGTGTGTGTGTGTGAATTTTCATCTGAGCTGCCTCCTGGGGTGATCTCTGCTAAAATATGATTTGCTACATTCCTCCATTTTAGGTGTCTTAAGTTGAAATTACCCAGCAGCAACATGTTTAGGGCATTCAGACCAATGACCCCTTGTTGCCTGTGTGTTTTTTTTTTTTTTGTCACATCTGTATACCTTATACCCTGAGATCCATATTTCATTGTCAAAGTGATCCTTTATGTGGGTCTCTGTGAAAGCCACAAATATTGCATTTGATTCTGTGAACAGTCTACTGATGAAAGGTATTTTGTTGTTTGTTGATGGCCTTAGATCTTGTATATCTGCAAAGATAAATGTTGTCATATTGATGGTATATAGGGGGACTTTGTTTGCTGGCACTAGTATCTGTTATTCCGAAGTGGAGGCCACTGACTGTGCCCCCACTCCTGTAGTGATCCGAGGTGGTGTACTATTTCTGTCATGGATCTATAACTTTCTAACAAATAGAACACAGTAAAAGTAAAGTCAAAGTAAAGTCAGAGGCGGCTATGGTGAAAAGCTCAGTTCCAATACTCACTCCCATCCTTATCCTATCCTCATCTTCATATCCGAAATAGAGAAGGATGTAAGTCACAGCACCGTGTCCTCCTTTGCTGATGAAACCAGAATTTACTAAGTAAATTTATTCAGGTATACACAAATACAGTTACATAGATTATTATACATAGCAGCATATGTGTAGAGAACCTGGGATAACCCAAAAAAGTCAGACAGAGTGGCATATTTCCACTGAGGACACTGCAGATCCCCAAGCAGTCATTAACCAAGTCTTTGAATGTGACTTAGAAAAAGATATGAAGTACAATGAAGACAAATTTCAATGTACTCCGTATTGGAAAACTCAGAAATAAAAACTGTATCGGAGTATAAAACAAATTCCATTCACACAATAAGGCGAAAAATTAATGTGAAGGACCTGGGAGTGATAATGTCGGTGAATCTCACTTTCAAAGATAACGACAATATATCTACCATATCTGTTAAAAAAATGATAGGATGGATAATGAGAACCTTCAAAACTAGGGATGCCAAGCCAATGATGATTCTTTTCAAATTGGTTTTTCTCTCTTGGCTGGAATATTGATGTACATTAACAGTCCCTTTCAAGGCAGACGAAATTACAGACCAGGAGAATATACAGAGAATTTTCACTGCATGTATAAGTACCATAAAGCACCTAAATTACTGGGAACTGTTGAAGTCACTTGACATGTACTCCCTGGAATGGAGGCGAGAAAGATATATGATAGTATACACTTGGAAAATCCTACAAGAACTACTCCCAAATCTGCACACGAAAATCACTCCCTACAAAAAAAAATTCAGCAGGTGGCATAACACCCCCCCCCCCAAAAGAAAAGCTGGGGGTGCCATAACTACACTAAGAGATTACACAATAAGTGTTAGGGGACCAAGACTGTTCAACTGCCTCCCAGCATACATAAGGGAGATTACAAATAGACCCCTGGCTGGTCAGTATCAGACCAGCTGGGCTGTTTCATAAGTCAGTTTATGTGCAGGCACAGTAACAGCCTGGTTGATTAGGCCTGATCCACTGCAAGGCTTGGTCATGGACTGGGTCGCGGGGGCATTGACCCCTGGAACACCCTTCAGGTATACTCAATGGGAGCTGATACTGCTGTTCAAAACTGCAAATATCTGCACCCTTCCTTCAGAGTGCAGGCACTGTACTTCCCACCTCCAGGACTCAAGTCCAGCTAACTGGATCCTTTCATACACGTTACCTTGCTCACACTCGAACAGCACATTGTTATAAAAACAACTTTCCACTAGTTACTCCTATCAAATACGCTCACACACACTGGATGTCTAAGTCCTTTGCATACAAAACATCTTCCCCCCCCCCTAACCTTCCAAGGATGGCCCCTACCCCACCTTCCCTCCACTACGTGCTGATTCATATGCCCTTCAAGTCATGCTCTTTTGTTCCATCCTTTCTAAATGTCTGAACCACCTCAACAACCCCTCTCCTAATCTCTAAGCTACAAATTCTCGGTATAATATTCACAGGGAATGCATAGTTTGGTCATGTGTAGACTTACCTACTGAGCGGGTGTCAGGGTAGAGTCGGTCAATGAGGTTGACTTGTCTGAAGCGAGTGGCAGTGTAGTAATTGTAGACGCGAGGCAATGTTGTGTTCACATCCTTGTGGATGCTTGCTTGCACCCCTGGGTCACTCATCTTCCTTGACTCTACCATAAACATCTTATTGTATTGTGGTATTTGTTAATTTTTGAATAATCATTTGTCCAATAAGCCAAGTGTCTATCGACTCTTGGCTTACTGGACAAAAAAAAAAAAATAAAAATACACACACACACACACACAGTGGAACCTCAGTTTACGAATATAATCCATTCCGTGACCTCGTTCGTATCCCGATTTGTTCATATGCTGAGTCAATTTTCCTCATTTAACTGAAATAGCATTAATCTGTTCCAGCAGAATTCCTGCTCTTAGGAGGCACGACAAAATACTTCATTGTGATGCTTATAACAACTCTACAGCTTATTTATATAAGAACATAAGAAAGGAGGAACAATGAGCAGGCCTGTTAACCCATACTAGGCAGGTCCTTTACAATCCATCCCACTAACAAAACATTTGCCCAACCCAATTTCCAATGCCACCCGAGAAATAAGCTCTGATAACACTATCCACTCTCATATTTATTTATTCATTTATTTATATATTTGAACATGATACACTGAAGTACAAAAAAATACAGTGGTTAAGTTTAACATGACAAAGACCTTTGTATGCAGAGCATTATGGGCAGGCTTAAAATTAACTTAAGATTAACTAAGCAATGATATATTCAGTGGTAAACATTATTGTAAACAGATAACAATTAAGCACAAATGAGCATTTCAAAAACAGGTCATATGGTCATTTACTCTGTTGCTGTGCATTCAGTAGAATGGAGTATTCTGTTAGGTAATGTAATTAAAAATAACAATTAATTGGGTCACAGGTTAAACATTTATGAGATACAATTATTCAGTATTTATTTAGTTGTGGGTGAGTAAGTGATTTTTAAGTAGAGACTTGAATTTATAAACCAACAGTGTTTCTTTTATATTCACAGGTAATGAATTCCAGATTTTTGGGCCTTTATGCGCACTGAGTTTTTGCATAGTGTGAGATGGACACGAGGAACATCAAAGAGTGATCTGTGCCTTGTGTTATGGTCATGTGTTCTGTTGGGGTTGGTAAGGAGACGTTTGAAGGGAGGGTTTATATCCAAGTTAAGTGTTCTATGTATGTAGTAGGTACAATAATAAGTATGGATGTTTTGTATGGTGAGTAGGTTTAGAGTTTTGAATACTGGTGGAGTGTGCTGCCCATAGTGGGAATTTGTTATCATTCTGACTGCAGCCTTTTGTTGGGTAATTAATGGTCTGAGATGGTTTATTGTTGTTGAGCCCCATGCACAAATTCCATAGGTGAGATAGGGGTAAATAAGTGAGTGATATAGGGCCAGGAGGGCTGACTGTGGAGTATAGTACCGTATGCCTACAGTCTTGGAAATTTTCTTGGAAACTTGTTGTATGTGTTTGAAATTTGAGTCTATTATCAAGGTGGATTCCTAAGAATTTTCCCTCTGTGAGCTTTGTGATAGGTGATCCGTCTACCATTAAGTTAAGAGGGACATCTGTAGCTCTGTTACCAAACTGAATGAAGTAGGTTTAGTCAATGTTGAGAGTAAGTTTGTTAGTCCTCATCCAGGTAGACATTTTCTGTAATTCGGTATTCACAGTATTGGCTAGCATGACTGGGCTTGGGTGAGAGAAGACGTATGTAGTGTCATCTGCAAATAGTATGTTTGAGTAGTTGCGATGCATCTGGTAGGTCATTTACGTAAATGAGAAAGAGATGAGGGCCAAGGACACTTCCCTGTGGGACACCAACTGTAATTGGCTGAGCAGAAGAGTTTGCTCCATTTGTGTACACATATTGGCTTCTGTTGCTGAGGTAAGACTTTAGGTAGTTGAGGGAGTGCCCTCTTATACCATAGTGCGACAATTTTATGTGGAGCAAACCATGGTCAACTGTATCAAAAGCTTTACGTAAACCAATGAAGATCCCCAGTGGGACTTCTTTTTTCTCTATTGCTGTATAAATATGTTCTAGCATGAAGAAGGGGTGTTAATGTTGCAGTTTAAAAACTGTAGTGTAAAGCACCCTTCTGGCAAGACAGTGATGGAGTGAATGATGGTGAAAGTTTTTCTTTTTCGGGCCACCCTGCCTTGGTGGGAATCGGCCAGTGTGATAATAATAATAATGTGGAAGCACCTAAAGTCAGTTCCTGATCATCCGGGCTGTGGCTCGTACATTGGTTTGCGTGCAGCCAGCAGCAACAGCCTGGTTGATCAGGCTCTGATCCACCAGGAGGCCTGGTCACAGACCGGGCCGCGGGGGCGTTGACCCCCGGAACTCTCTCCAGGTAAACTTCAGGTAGTTAAAGATAGTTATGTTGTTGTTGGCTCTGAGAAGTGCCTTTGATTGTTCTGCTGTGTAGTAATTACAGTAACTGTTTGATTCATTTAAGTCATTAAATAAGAGGTTGGTATCAGGATCAATGCTTGTAATCATAAGATTTGTAGTGAGTCTATAGTTAGAGTTGAGTATAAGACAAAGTAAATATTCTAAAGCTATAAAATATAACCTGAATTATTTTAACAAATGTAAAAATATGAGCTAAGGTAGTTTTTTTAAGCTAAAATAAAGGAGACAATATAAAAGGGACTAAAGTAATTTGTGGTGAGCAAATAAAGTGATGATCAAATAAAGGAGCTTGGGAATATAATTGTAGGTAGTTCTTTAAAGGTAGTTCTTTAAAGTTAAAATAAAGGAGACAATATAAAAGGGACTAATATAAGTTGTGGTGAACAATAAAGTGGTAATCACATAAATGAGTTTTGGAATATAATGGCAAAATAGTGAACTTATTACACTTTAGCACCTGAGAATAGCACCTTGATTATTTTAACAATTGCGAATATATGAACTAAGGTAGTTATATAAAGCTAAAATAAAGGAGAAAATATATAAGGGACTAAATTAAGTAATGGTAAACAAAGTTAAATGGACAGATAGTCACTATGATATAATATTGATTTGGGAGTAAGATCTGATTTGTAATATATAATAAGTTGAGCAATTAATTGCACAATAAAAAGTAAAAAAATATGAGATAGTAGGTACTAGCTAACAAAAGATAGTTTTGGGACACTCACAATAATGTAATTGGAATATACACTAATTGCACACACAATATAAAAGGGACTAAAAATGTAGTGGTAAACAAAATTAAATGGACAGGTAGCAACCATGAGTAAGATTTGACTTGCAACACAAAATTGTGAGCAATTAATAGCAATTAAAAAGAAGTAAAAAGTATTTGAGGTAGCTGGTATTAGCTAGTAAAAGAAAAAAATAATAATGCACAATAATGTAATAGTAACGTACACTATATGCACCACATGTATATACGTGTTAGGGACACTTATCTAATCTGTTACAGAAATGTCAGCTTTTCTAAGGAAGGTAGAGAAATCATGTTCATTTGAGATGGTATATTGTTGTCCTGTTGATGTTTTCCTTACTAGTATTTTCCCATCACGAGTGAAACACTGATGTATTTTTGTTTTCTCAACCTAAACAGAAGGTTTTGACGTTTTCTCGTTAGACACTCCATTTTTCATTGTAATATGCAAGTCCCACTCAAATCCAACCCCTCTCACTCATGTATTGATCCAACCTATATAAGAGCATAAGAACATAAGAATGGAGGAACACTGCAGAAGGCCTACTGGCCCATGCAAGGCAGGTCCTTATCAAAACGACCTCTACCCAAAGCTACCCAAGAATTAACTCCTGTTGATAAATTAGACACATATGCAACTCCTGGGTATCTTTATTGAGGAAACGCTTCACCACACTGTGGCTTCATCACAATTCATCTAATTTCACCATCACTCAAAGAATGCACAACAGTTGCATCATTGTCAGTGTTCAGCATTTCGATGTCAGCTTCCAGTAACTCCATTAGCACACAGTCAAGATGAGTAAATAGAATTGTCAATGCTTACTGCTTGGGTACATTTATTCTGTTAGTGCGTTGGATCTGTGAAGGACCTGCCTAGTATGGTCCAACAGGCCTACTGCAGTGTTCCTCCTTTCTAATGTTATTATGTACCCACGACACCAATCATACCCATCCCCTCCCACTTATATATTTGTCCAATCTCTTTTTAAAGCTACTCAAGGTTCTATCGAAGCCAGAACCTTGGGTAGTTTCAAATTTAGGTTGGATAAATACAGTGGACCCCCGCATACCGTTGGCACCACATAACGTTAAATCCGCATACCGATACATTTTATCGCTAAGATTTTGCCTCGCATACCGCTAAAAAACCCGCTCAACGCTATTCGTCCGAGACGCGTCTAATGTGCGGCCTGAGCCAGCCTCACATGATCTGCCGGTGGCATTGTTTACCAGCCAGCCTCCGCGGTAACATCCAAGCATACAATCGGAACATTTCGTATTATTACAGAGTTTTTGTTGATTTTATCTGCAAAATAAGTGACCATGGGCCCCAAGAAAGCTTCTAGTGCCAAACCTACAGGAATAAGGGTGAGAATTACTATAGAGATGAAGAAAGAGATCATTGATAAGTATGAAAGTGGAGTGCGTGTCTCCGAGCTGGCCAGGTTGTATAGTAAACCCCAATCAACCATCGCTACTATTGTGTCCAACAAAACGGCAATCAAGGAAGCTGTTCTTGCCAAAGGTTCAACTGTGTTTTCGAAACAGAGATCGCAAGTGATGGAAGATGTTGAGAGACTCTTATTGGTGTGGATAAATGAAAAACAGGTAGCAGGAGATAGCATCTCTCAAGTGATCATAAGTGAAAAGGCTAGGAAGTTGCATCAGGATTTAATTAAAAAAATGCCTGCAACTAGTGATGATGTGAGTGAATTTAAGGCCAGCAAAGGTTGGTTTGGGAGATTTAAGAAGCGTAGTGGCATACATAGTGTGATAAGGCATGGTGAGGCTGCCAGTTCGGACCACAAAGCAGCTGAAAAATATGTGCAGGAATTCAAGGAGTACATAGACAGTGAAGGACTGAAACCTGAACAAGTGTTTAATTGTGACGAAACAGGCCTGTTTTGGAAGAAAATGCCA